TAGAATACTAGACCAGTTTTAGATGTGATCTGCAATAAATATCTACTTACTTTTGATGTTATATTTGACTTCATCAAATGTTTATGAAATCCCACCTTTTGTATTATCTCTTGCAAGAATGGTACCATATTTGCTGGTAGCGGTGCTAAAATGTTAGAAATGTGAACTTTTATTCATTCTCGTAGTGTAATGTTTAAAAATTCATACTAACCAATATTCGTATTCTGTGTATGTTTGAGCTTAACTGTTAGGCGGGCAATTTCAGTTTTTAAATGAGTCCTTTCAGCTGCACAAGATACATTTGTGCACATTGGAACAAAAACAATTGTTGAAGCTACGATAGAAAAGTAATCATAATTCTTACTAGAGGAAGGTGTTAAATTTGACTGCATCCAAAAAAATAAATAATACCCTTAAAAACTACAACTTTAAATGACATACAATGTTACTGGAAAAAGATGCCTTATTATAAAAATTTACAAACTTTATATATATATATAATATTGCAAATAAAAGCATAGTATCTAAAAGTTAAAAGAAATGTTTGTTACTCATACCAGTGGAAACATTTGCTGACGGATTTGTAATACTTAGCAATGGAGTACCTAAAACATTAAACAAGCCGAACTTAAAAGTATGGATCGTAGACATAAAATGATTTTCATATTCCCTAGAGATCGATTCTTATATAAGAATCTTACCAGAAATCTATAAGTCTCTTATCAGTATCTTATAAAATTCTTATAAGAATCTTATCAGGTTCTTATGTAAGATTGTTTAAGATTTCCCATCGACAGTCGGAAGTGTCTTATAAGAATCAGATAAGATTTTCATACGAGGCTCATAAAAAGATAAATCACACTTAACGAGGATCAAACTCGTAATCTTCCATTCAGCTGCCCGATCTTAACCATTAGAATATAAGTGCTTACTCTGTTTATGTTATTATATCAAGTTATTTTAGATAGGAATGTAAGTTACGCGTAAAATATTGCCCGATTAATTAGTTAATACATCCTAGTAAAAGTTTTATATTTTTAAAAATAACAGTTCTGTGAATACGACTCACAAGTCATCAGAATAAATGACTGTTACGGCCACTTACTAGCCGAAAAGATTTGAGAGCAAGTAGAAGTAACTTAATCATAACAGAAATCGTAAAAGCCGACTCATAAGATGCCTTCTAGTGCATATTAACAACATAAGAATTTTTGGTTCTTCTTATGTTTTTCTTACGAGCCTCTTATGAAAATCTTATAAGATTCTCATAAGACACTTACGACTGTCGATGGGAAATCTTAAACAATCTTATATAAGAAACTGATAAGATTCTTATAAGAATCCTATCAGTTTTAGCAAAAAATTCTTATCTAGGGTTATTGCCCTTTAATCAAAGTAAAGTGATTAATCCAAATCCAACTTAGTATTTTCTCTTCGTGACTAAAGCATATCAGTTGTCAGACAGCCCAAGAAACATGCTGTACGAATAGATAAAGAATTAAATAATATTTTTAGGACTTTCTATGTTTAGCTTTAAAAAAATATTGAGACATGGCTGCGGTAAAATCAAGATCTTTCCGTATTTGTGACAAAGCATGTTTAGATGAGCAAAATAAATGTGGTGACGCGTCTGAAACTGTTAAGTAAATCACTAATAGAATTTTTCCCCGTTGGAAACATTTTCACCGATATAGTTGAATTAAATTTCTTGACAAATCGATCTAAATAAATGAAATTAGAGTGGAAATCTATTTAAGAATAATGCATTATTCAAAATTATTTAGAGAAGTTCTTACTATCGTATAAAAAGACAGCTCTTTCAGCTGCTTTATGATCTTCAAACGTAATGGTACAAAATTTTCTCCACCATTACGTTTGAAGATCATAAAGTAGCTGAAAGAGCTGTCTTTTTTGCACTTCTGTGAAATATTGAAAGTTTTGTAGCAGTATGAGGAGACCATCTGCAAAGAGCGAAGCAGTGACGTTAGATGGAAACATCTGACTCAAGTCATTTATGAATACCAAAAACAAAAGTGATCCCAGGATGCTTCCCTGGGGTACTTCTTAAGTTACATTTGCTGCTTTAAATTTTTTTATCATTTATAAGTACAATTTGTTCTCGATAGTTAGTTTATACGATTTAGACCGTTCAAGTAACACACCGGTCGCGCCTGCTCTAGCTAGTTTTTTCATCAAAATTATGTGGCCTAACCTGTTGAAAGCCTTAGTAAAATCAAAAGCGATACCAACTACTGATTTCTTACTCTGTAAAAATTTTGCTAATTCAATAGTAACATGCAGCAGAGCATCTACAGTCAGTAATGAGGTGGAGACCAAACTGTACCTGCGAGAAAAAACACGTTTTATTCAAATAATTCAATAATGAATTATGTATTAGCATCTCAAAAACTTTTCTTAAATTTGACAACTAAGATATTGGACGATAATTAAAGCATTGAGTACGTGATCCTTTTTTGTAAATGATTCTAATTAATGCTTTTCCGTATTTTGGGAAAATTTCCTGCTGAACTGAAAAATGCATTCAGAATTCCTGGAAAGCGAAGTTTTGAAAGGTACATGGTAAAAACGAAAATAAAATGTTGCAAACGATATGATATGTATGCAATATGTTGGTGACACCTATGATTGGACTATACTACTTTTAACACTTTCATTTAGCTTAGAGAAAATCAAATCCCACAATTCTCATTGTATTTAATTTTTAGATTTCCTTCGCCTTAAAGATCTTCCGGCAAGTAGTAATTCAAATGTTTGTGTGCAAAAGAGTACAAAAAGAGTGCGACAGACATAGCGAAAGTGATAGTTAAAATGACTGAGATGAAAGAATGTATGATTAGATCGTACTTCGTAGCTTAGTATTTGTCAATCAACTATAATCTGCAATTTTTCATCTAAATGATATTCATCTTCTGATATCTATAAGTACGAAAGATCTTTTTCAATATTATTAAATTACAATTATGTGGATATCAGAGCTTCGCGTGAGATGTGATAGTCCCACCCCATCCCGTTCCATGCAACAAAACTTCCTATAAAAATTCTCTATTTGTTGAGAATAGAATAGTTTTACTGACATAGATGTCTCGAAATAATTGTTTTTCTATTCTTTGAATTAGTATATGGTCCGAGTCTGATGACTCATCGAATCAATAGCAGAGAATACACTTCAGACGACGCCACATGTCTAGATACTTTTCTCTAAGTAAATAACACATATTTAATATTATCAGAAAATGCTTCAAAATCATGTCGAATATGTTGGATAATGATAATGAAGAAGATTTGATTAGTCCATGTTTATGCACCAGTGAATCAGAATATGTTCATAGAAAATGTTTAGATAATTGAAGATCATTAAATAAAAATGATCGAGCTTTTTAATTTTGTGATGTTTCTCAATTTGAATATATAATTGAATCAGTAATAGATGCGATCCATTTGTTGATAGAAAAATACTAGAGATTTCGTTTATTAGTTACTCATGATCTATTAGTAATTCTTCTATTATTCAAGCAATCATTATTGGAATGACATTTTCCTTACAAACTATGGATAAGAAAAGTAACGGTATTAAACATTTATATCCATCTTCAATGAGTCCACTTGGCATTTATTACTTAAACAGTTTAATATTATTTTTTGATCTTACAGTTTTTATTTTGTTTAATTGCTTTCTATTGTTGTGGGTTAGCAAGCAATGATGGTAATGATGGATGTACCTGTGCTTATTATTCATGTTTTTGTTTATAGGTTCGAGTTGTAATGATTGTAATGGAAATCATGATTGTGGTCAAGGTGAAGAGGCGATATTTATTATTGTTTTATTGATATTCGCGATTCTTGGATTATTTATTCGAAGTATTCTTAGTGTATGCGTGGTGTGGTTCAAATGAGAAACTACAAAAACTATCTTTGGAACGAATTTCTAATTGATAGGCGGCTCATAGGCCGAAATTTTGATTGTTTAGTTGTCTAAAACGTAACCTTGGTACACATCCAGATGCTACAAGTTTAGTTACAGTGTTATCCAAAGATCTCGATTTGATGCCTACTGAAGAGTATCAAAAGATATTTTAGAAGTGGATTGAAAGCAGGAAACTTTGTATTCAACATCATGGGGACTATTTAGAATATTTACTATCAAAAGATCAGCCAAATGTTGTTTCTATGAATAAATATTTGAACCTTCGAGAACTTTTCGACTGATCTATGTAGTACTGAGTATCAGCCACCTGATGAAACCTCTGGTCAGATCGGAACGATCGGCGTGGTAGGTGCAAATAATCTCTCGATATCTTCGGATGAGAGTTATTAGGCATAAACTCACGCTAATCATCGCGATTGTAGTAGCTCGTACTCACCCGGTTCATGAATTTTTCATTTTATTTGAATAAATTGATTTCATGATAAATTTGATAAAACAATATCAATCTTGGTTTTTTTCTATGTATTCAGTTATGCCTGAATATAGATTACATTCGAGATTTGAAGGAAGATGTTGGTAATTTGAACAAAGAGATGATGTAGAAGAAATTAGTTTTTCGAAGATGAGGATAACAGCCAAACAGAATTCTGCTGACTGATTGTTGATGAGTGTCTTCTCTCTTGAAAACTTCGAACTGTTACTAAAACCGAACGCTTTATTTCATATCAATTTATTGCTAGAATAATATTCGAAGATTACATTCAAAGTTTAGAAAACAATCGTATTTTTTTCTGAAAATTTTAAAAAAGAATGACAACACAAGAATGTGACAATAAAAAAAAAACTTCATTTCAATGATCATCAAAAAAATATGTAGTAATGACAATGACAAAAAAAAGCGTTTAGGGGGGAAAAAATTAGTTGATACACTCACTCATTTTGAGCATACAGTGCTTTGCGAATCAATCAAGAAATACGAAAGGAGATAAAAATCGTTTCAATTTAATAGTTCTAGTCAATAAAAATTCAGTGACAGAAAACGTTATTCTTAACTCTATGACGTAAAACTGGTTTTACCATATTTAGCTCTATATAACTTTACAGCATCATCTCCTTGACTTCCGGCTGCTTTCCTAAGAACTTCTTCAGTAACATAATTAGTCAATGCTGCGACACCTGCACTAGAACGAATATCGAGTGGTTCACATCGTCCGTGTGTCTCTTTTGCAATTTCTTGAAAATCATCTTTAGCAGACTCAGTTAAATAGAATGTATGAATCGGAATATTTTTATCTTTTAGTTTTTGTAATTCATCTTGGTAATAGGTCGGTTTAGAAAATCTGCTATTCTTCCAATAGCTCTCGCCATATTCCGCTCGTTTTGAAGCTACCTCTGACCTGGTATTTGTTCCGGCATCTCCAATCAAAATCACTTGTGAAATTGATTCTGCTGTGTCACTTTCCTTAGCGGCATGCTGTAATCCTATTTCAATCGCTTCATGTCCCCATCCACCTTCTGAATCGATTGTATTCATAAATGTTCTTAAACTACTACCTTTTGTTTCCCAAGCAGAAGCTTCTAAAATCTTTTTTTCGTCTGAGTTATAGTTTCGATATACGGCAAATTGCATAGAAAATATATCGCTTGGTAGTTTTTTTTCTCTTAATATAGCTGAAGCACGTTCAAACATTGTACAAACTGTATCTTTTGTAGCAGATAATAGACTGGACATTGAACCTGTCGCATCCATCAACAAAACTGTACGAGAAATACCTGAATCTATATTAGGTCCACGATTTTGTTCAAGTAAAAATTTCTTAGCTATGTCAATATCTCCTGCAATTAATCCATCAAGAAAACCTTTCGAATCATTATGAGCAGGTTCACATTGTACTATGCCGTATTTTTTTCCAGCACATTTAATTTCATAGAGTTTTCTACGCTCTTCATCTAACGCTGCATAAAGAGTCGAGCCTTTTTTCTTTTTAACTTCATTCTCCCAATCACCACCAAGAACCCATTCTAAATCATTTTCTAACAAAATTATTCGATATGAACCTCTATCTCCTTGTCGAGCTCCTCTACCCATAATTTGATATTGTTCAGATAATTCTTTCGAAAAGAACGTTTGTAATACATGAATGCCACCATTAGCCAAGACTTGTTGATTTCGACAAATGAAATCAGTACCTCGACCAAATGTTCGCGTTAATAATGTTACTTTACCATCAGTAGCTGCACGTTTAATATATGTTTCTCTTTCTTTAGCTGACACTCTTTCAGTTATCAGTTGTACAGATTGTTTGATCGATGATAATACATCAGAATTGTAAAATTCTAATAAACTTTTTTCTGAATCAAAAAAGATGAGTATAGCACGTTGAGCATTACACATAGTATCAATTTCCCCTCGAATTCTTGTAAAATATTCGGATTTTTCTGCTGCTTCAACATCGTTCATCGGATTATAATTACGATTACTTTTACCAAAAACTGATGGCATAAATGTACTCTTCACTATACCATACACACCATGAAGAATGTTCTTTTCAGCTTCTGCTAGAGTTCTCAAAGTACCCGAGACACCTGTGATATAGCCAAAGTCTTTTGGCATATGTGCATAAGAAAATGTACCACAACTAATAATAATACCTACATTCGTCTCTAAACTTTTCTCACTAATAAAACCTTTTTGTTTCTCATGATAATATGCCCAAACAGTATCGTAACCACGAACAACATTTTCAGCAAGAGATTCACCTTCTATGTAAACAATTCGATCATTTTTAACACTATATGTTGATGATTGATACGATTGTAACGCATCCACCATACCTTTAACGGCTTCATCCAAAAGAAAAGTCCAATTACTAAATCGATTTTTACAAGCTTTATAAGCAGGTGTCTCCTTAACAGCATTTAATGTACGTAATTGTCTATTATGCCATATTGTATCTAATAAACTCTTGATTTTTGGATCCTTTAAAAATACTGATGGTGTATACATTCCACCATAAAATTTTTCACTGAGAAAAACATCCACTTCATCAATTAATAATACTTTAAGACGACTGAGTGTCGTTTTTCGCATTGCATCAATGGTATTCTTATTCTCCATGATCATATCACGAACTTTTTCTCGAAGATTACATTGTTGATTCAAAAAATTCTCACATAAGAGGCAGTGCACGATAGAGACGAACGAAGTTGCTCAATGAACTGTCACAGATTTTTCTCAAATTATCAGAGCAGATAGAGAAATGTGTCCTGAACATTTTTGTCTCTTGACATTTTTTTCCAAA